CCTCCCCGGTTCTTCATTACTCCTGCCATTCCTGGTGACCCCACCTCGCCTCTCTTCTGCCCTGTTCCCGGCCTTGGCGGATCATTCACTGACCGAAATTGCTCGAACGCGACCACTGGACTATGTCGTTCGCGACATAGGCAGGTGGTCGGACCTTCCTCCTTTTCGTCGAGTTCGTTAGCCATGCGCAGTGACACTTTGGCCTCCGTTATTATCGCGCGGGAGATCTGTTCGCGCGAGCTCTAAAAACCTAGTTTTTCCAGGCGGACTTGGTCGCGTGACCGGCTCGTTTCACTGTCAAGTACCATTCACGCCAGTGTCTCATTGTCGTTTCCGATATTTCCCGACCGAACGACCAGTCTCTCTCTCTCTCTCTCTTTACCAGCAAATTTTCCTCGATCTCTCGAAGCCCGCCGGTATAGATAACGCGCATGGTCCAAAGGTTCACAGGAAGCAACGTTTTCATTCGCAACCACTTAACAGTCGCTCGCGAACAGCAACCTGCTATTAGAACACTTTGGCGCGCGCGAACCGCCCGCGAAACCACATTTTCTCGCGCATAACCACCTAGAAATTCAAATACCCACTCGTCTCTACTCTCGTTGCATCCCCTTTAAGAGATAGACCTTAAAGTCCCATCCCGTAACTCGTTTCTCTCCCCCTCTGTTGGATTTCACGAGATATTTCATTATTCTAAATATATCGACGGCGAGCAGAAGTCTCGCGTAAATGGAAATCGCCGCTCCAAATGTATTCTAACGCGATTACCTACCGGCGCGTATTCCCCCCTTGTACGGGACTCTACTTGCATTTCGGAATCCTCCGGCCATTATTAGAATACGCATCGATATCGCGGAACGTCGGTATTAATGCGTGCGTAGCGCGATTTAATTTTAGATAAGCGAGAGATCGGCTGTCTCGTGTAACGATAAATTGTCCGAGACGCGTATAAGAAAGGGAAATACCACGTCGAATTCATGTGACACGCATCAGCCGGCGAAAACATGTTGTGTTGTAATTAAAAAAAAAAAAGAACAATCTCTTAATCACCGCCCCTTGGTCTCGCGGATTAACAATCGGATGGCACAGCTGTTTCAGAACCGAGCAGAAGCAGAAGCAGAAGCAGCAGCAGCGACATGGAGGCGCAGGAGAGGGAGAAGCCGCTGGTTAAAGACTTGAACGAACATATCGTGTGTCCTCTGTGCAGAGGCTACCTCATAGATGCAACGACACTCGTGGAATGTCTACACTCTTGTTAGTATCTCTTTCTTACCAAATTAAACAATTCTGTTTCGAAAGTAAGCAAGTAAGCCTTGCCCGCGACCAAGTTGCATGTCATCCACCAATTACCATTCATTTGCAATGGAAAAATGTCGGATAATAGGAGAGTTGCCGATGTCGAAATAACGACGCGTATTCCGTAACGTAGATAGCTCCAACAACCGCATCTACTTCGCGTGCGTAAAATAGTCCGTACGCTCGTCTGCTGCCCCTCTGGCAGGGTGGTTAAATTCGAGGAGGGTGACTAACCGCGCGCTCCCGCTCTCCATTTCGCGCGTTCCAATACTCCCGTAACTAACGAGGATTCGAAAAAACGTTAGCAACGAAAAGTTCCCGAAGCAGCGTCGCTCTTCGACGACGAACCAAATCTTTGGTGAAGATCTGTCTCGCTGCGAAGAACGTTGAAAAAGGATGCTGCTTCGGAACTTGTTGTCGTTAATCTAGCAAACGATAAAAACGTTGGGTAAAGTACAAGGATACGGGCGACACTCAGTTTGCAGAGGCTGCATAGTGAGACGACTGAGCAGCGGTGCCAGAGCGTGTCCAGTGTGCAATGTCGCAACGTCTCCGCCACTCTTGCCGGACGTGAAATTGCAACGACTCGTGTACCTCGTGGTACCGGGCCTCTTCCGGTCGGAACTCGAACGAAGGCGCCACTTCCGGCTGGTTAACCCACAATGCCCGCCGCTGGCCCTTCCCTTGGGTGCTCTGGATTTAACCTTGGACGATTTCGTCAGCTTGAGTTTGTGCGAGCTCGACGAACCGGAAGTAGAAGAAGTAGAAGAGGCGCACGAACCGGAAAACCGTGGGTCACGGCATCGAAGCAACGCCGACCAGACGAAACAGGGGGGCACGTTTCGTGTTAGGAATACGAGATATCTGAAATGTCCGGCAGGAGTGACAGTCCGACACCTGGTGCGTCTGTTAATGCTGAAGAGAGGATGGGGGGAGGCGAATTTTCAAGGAGCAAACGCCAACAGGATCGAGATGCTGTGCGAGAAGAACAACGAGCTGGTTACTCCTTTGATTCTGGACCAATCTTGGACTCTACTGGACCTCGCCTGTATATTCGGCTGGAAGAGAGTGAGTTTTCTCCCCTGTCATTTGGTAGCACCGTAATTTCCTTACTTTCTCTACGTCCATTTTACTCGTAACTATGTCGATGCTCGATCATTTACCTATCGCGGTATTCTTAATCACGTCCTACTGCGTCAATTCTACCTACCTACAGCGAGGTGTCTCGTGACTCGTGACGATGCAAGATACCATAGGGGTAGCGATCATTTTTACGTTACAGGAGGCACCCATGAAACTGTACTATCGCGTGGTAAGGAAGGACGACGCTGTCTCTGTCTCGAGAATCAGCCCTTACAACGACGACGACTCCGCCAAGGATACCACGACCATGGAAAATATTCAGAGGCCGCCGACACCACCGCCGAGTCCTAAACCCGCCCAAGAATGCGAAGTCGAGGCTCGTAGGATTTTAGAAAGTAGCACAGAGCCACCTCGATCTTTGGAGAGCAACCTGGAGCGCGACAAGGAACCGAAAACGAAGAAACCCCGGTGCGAGGTGACTCCTGTGATGAGGACTCCCGATCTCGTGCCGATACAGACCACTCACGCACCGGAGAGTTCGAAAACTAAAGAGCTGGCAAGATTGGAGCATCGTAAACGTAGGAAACGGCGAAACAAGAGAGTGATCGCTGAAATAACCACCACACCGAGGGAGGATTTGTTGAAATTGAAGGTTCGATTGACGCCATGTCCACCGAGGATCACATCGAGCACTGGAAGTGGCCAGACCAAGGAGAAACTGCTACAGATGAGAGCAGTTAGAAGAGAGAAGATCAAAGCCACGACGATAAGCCAGCAACGCTCGTCTGGCGTCTTGGTTCGAGAAGAGGGCGCCAGTTCAAAGGAGAATATTGGTGAAACAGACGAAACCATAGAAGAAATTATAGATAGCATACCCGACGAGGTTGTAAGAATCGCACAAAATATAACCACTCAAGGAGAAGAGGCGTCTGCGTCGGTGGAAAGGGTCGATCAGAAGAACGCGGCTTCCAGTTGCAGATCCACGCCTAAGAAAGACGAAGCTGAACCGGAAGGTGCGAAAACAACGGAGCAAGCTGACGCAGAACGTCCTAAGAGAGACGAAGAGATCCTACGACGATTGGGACTGGTGGCAGTGAACGAAGCCGGCGATAAAACGAAGCAACGTGTCCAAAGTAGCGGAGAAAAGACCGACAATTTGGACAGAGAGAAGCTCGAGAAGCAACTACGCGAGAGCAAGGCCAACAGAGTGAGAAGTTTACTAGCCGAGAAGCAAATGCGTGACGCGTTGAAGAGCATAATGTCAAAGACAAAAGAGGATCATCCTACAACCGCACAGGTGACCACTCCACCGAAGAAGAAAGGTCCTCCGCCATTGGCGCCGCTACGTGTCGCAAAGCCTTCCGGTTTCGCCACGTCCAGCGCCATTTTGGAACCGAACAATTCGAAATACGAGATCCCGCTGGACCTGAGCAGCGGCGGAACCGTTCACAATAACGTTCTCGACTTATCGGCCAACCTGTTGACCAGCAATTTCATCTCCACCTCGCCCTCCTCGTCCTCGTCCTCGTCGCCCTCCTCCTCTTCGTCGTCGTCGTCCTCTTCGCCCTGTTTGGTGCCCTTGTTAAATCCAAGAACATCACGAACCGCGCTCACCTCCGGAGGACTGTTAAGAGGAAACGCGAAAGACTTGGAGCAACGACGAGGTCAAGATTCCAATCTGGTGACACTTTCTGACGCTGCTGTGTCCCTGCTAAGTGGCTGCATCACAGACAAGAACTCGGTCGATCCTTTGGTGCTCAGCTCGGCCAATCTCGCGAGCAAAGTGGCTCTTCGAATACCGCAACCTCATCAAAGAATCTCCGGTTTTGGAATGAAAATCAAACCGAACCTAAGCATCCGGCATATCCCGAATCCTCAGGCGGTGGTCGCCTCTCAGTACAGGAATCAAAGAGTTAGTTACTTCAACACAGCCTCGCAACAGCCACCGTAAGAAAAGAAACACCATCAGAGGATCGCTCTGTCCCTATATCCTCCACACCTAACTTCCTAACTATTGATAATTCTTAACGCTATCGAGTGGAAACGGAGATTCCTATGTGACCAACCCAAAGGCTGTACGTTACCATATATTTGTCACCTCCTCCTTCCCCCTCAGCTTCCTATAACGTTTTGTAAAACGTGACGAGTTTCGCGTGGGTGTGAAGACACACGGTACACCCGGTAGCATGAACTAGAACGGCTCGGCTCGGCAAGTGAAAGTGAAAGAATGATTGCATCATTTGATACCGGTAAGAGTAAATGAAACGAATTATAGCCGAAGAATCGTTTTGGAATTCACGCGAGTGCGCGTTACCGTGTGTCTGTCTTGCTCTCGAAGAAGGAACGATGGTGGTATCCAAGTCCGTTGTTACCTAGATATGTACTATTAAGCTACTACGTATGTTTGTAATGCATGTATGTGTGTCTATGATCAACCATTAAAACGCAGATTATCTCATTTGTGTCTTGAACTGAGAAATGAATTATACAAGAAGAGCCGAGGAATTTGATGGTTCTTGGTCTATCGGCGATAGCAAAACGTATATAAACGTATATATGGTTAGGGGTTGTAGAGAGGATAGTGGGTGAATGGTTTTAAACACGGTGGATGGATGACGGATTAAGCTTTCCCTTGTGCCCCACACCCACACAAGCGTTGTCTCTTCTCCTTTCTTTAGAACGTTAGAGAAAATATGTACTTCATAGAGATGCCAAAGAACGCCAGAGAACGTGTGCAATGTATTAGTGCAATTTAATTATCGTCTATTATCAATATGATATAATAATACAAGCGATTTATTGCGGCGGCGTAACAGGCCGAACTTGGTAACTTCACGTGGTAACGGGTAGCTGCTAAAATCGTTACGGTTCAAATAACGCGATTTTCGGGGACGAATGCAATTTCAGGAGAACGCCTGATTAGAAATCGGAGTTTTCGTTTTCGTAAAGCTTTACCTATATACTTTTAATCGTACGCTCGATTCTACATAGGTATCGAGATGTACAGTTGAAATACCTACAGGTGAATCGGGAGTTTAAAACGTACGTACGATTCTACAATAGGAGGTCGTAATCCTATGTAAACGAAGTTTTTATTTTACTAAAATGTAAACTCATATCGCTGTTATTGATTTATGAATAATATATATGTAGGTATTATCGTCTGAGATCGATGCGATCAAGTGCTTCGGAGACGCTGAGAACAGAGAGAGAGAGGCTCGTTATGCGACGATTTTTAATACTGTATCGGAATTTGTACACTCGAATAAGTGACCGCTCCTGTTCGTGCAAAGGACAACAATAAAGACGAAATTTGATTTAAAAGGAAATCCAGATCCTACTCGAACGATCAGAATAATTCAGCGTTAACGGTATATAGGCACACGTCGATCGAGCATGCGTGTTGCGTAAAAAAAAGAATATAATTATCGAATTAGAGTCAAGGTGGGTATGTTAGAGTACAGGTCGAAACGAAGTTCGATGTAGAGGAAAGACGTGAACGGGAGAAGTATTCCTAATAACGAATAAACACAGGTGTGAACCTAGCCACGAAGTTGGACGTTTGAATTAGTAACGAAATTTGCGTCAATTAGTTCTATGGTTACCCGGTAGAAAGAAGAATAAAAAAAGGAAAGAAAACAAATGGGGAACCACGCGATTTCGACTAAGCGAAAAATCAAAAAAACTGCCAGTTTTAGGAAAGTGAGGACTACACGTTATAGGGCCAGTGCTCGTTAGAATTTACAGTAAACTAAAAAGGGACCCAGATTTTTACATATTATTTTTCTACGGTCTTTTTAAACGGAATCGCGTTACGTTCTACCCTCATGATCGATCATAATTTACCCATTGACCCGCCAATTTTATAGCGCATCCACGTCGAACAAAGTGGTAAGTCGTTCATTCGAGCTGATGAGTTACGAGAGGAGATAACGTAGCCAGGAAGATTTTAATATCTGATTTGTTTCAAGAATGAATAGCTGCCACGTAACTGTACGTAAGTTCTACTTGAAATATTAGCCCATTGTTCGAAGCAACACATACTCATGTACTTCCTTGTTAAACGACACGAGAAGGAACAGCAGCGCCGATGTAAATCGTATCTAAAGTTACAATTCGAAAAGACTTGAACGCCCAGGTATGTAGCCCGATACCTGGCGCGATAATGAGGGATCAAGAATACTTTTCCGACTTTCGACGTCTCGAGGATTATTTCTTGAAACTATTGTGCCCAAAATATTCACGTATCCGTAAGCTTTAGAGCGTCGAGAGAAATAATAAAGGGAAAAAGTGAAGAGAGAGAGAGCGATCTGTGCGATCGAAAAAAAAAATTTATGCGAATGTTTTAGATTTTAAAGAAAGGTTATTATTAAAATTATAAGGGAAAAAGTGAACATGTTGTTTTGGATAGTCGCGAAGCCTATTACACGGAGCAGTTACGCGCGATTTTTGTTTCGGGAGATTTTAGAATTGTAATGATAAGCGTGGTCGGTTAGGCTTCGAAAGCATCGTCGTGATAACTTTACGGCATACAATGCGATTTATTACGCAGTTACTGTCGATAATTATTGCCATTGATACTACATATATAACACAGTACAGTATTTCCATGATAAACAAGCTGTGAGTTGTAATCGAAACTAGAAATGTCAATAATCACTAACAATACAGTTATTCATATATGTATCTAAACCTTCTCAATTCCCTTCTTTTGTCTTTGTTCCTACGTTCTGTGAAATCTTTTTCTTCGTCGTCACTTATAAAACGGTCCTAAAATTGCCAATTGTTTCGTTAGCGCGTTGCGGTATTGGATCGACTGAGATCAGATTCCTAAGAATACAACGCACCGTGCGCGATGTGTTGAATCAAAATCAACGGAAGAAAGGTAGATTAAGTTGCAAGATAACCCAGGCTATAAGTGCGTATTATATTACTATGCCATTGATCGTTCGAGTATCTAATTATTCACTCGGTTATCGCAAGGCTCTCCTCGTTTGGAAATTACCCGGTTACACCTTGTCGTCGAATATCAATCGGCGATGTATTTGTTAACGCTAATTAGCTAGCGTGTTTAATCCGATATTTTGTTAAAATTGTTTTTGAGAAATCATGTTATTGTACATCCAATCAATGTACGATCATTGCTCGTCAATAAATCGTAATCTGTATTAACCATAAACCAATGTGCATTCCACTTTATTCAACCCCTCTGACCTTACATTACACAATATTACATAACTTGTTCAATCCAGACGAAACGATATCGAAAACGTATTCCCGAAATTAGAAGACTTCTATGAAAGTAAATGCATGCAAGAGATGGCGGAGTGAACCAATCGGTTTTTGGGGATACGCCATTTTTGCGTTCGTACGGAAGCGAAGCAGTCCCTCGTGCACCTACTCAACCTGATGGAACACCGTACTCAATTTTTGAACGAATTAACAGCTCAGCACCCTAATAATATTCAACGTGAGATCGATGCGAACCCTCGCAAGACGTTATGGGGGGTACCAGCAATATTAGGCACGATACTACAAAAGCCACGTCAATACAGGTAAACAACAATGGCTAAGGTGTAGAAGCAACGAAGAAAATTTGCCAAATAACAGAGGTGGTCCGTAATGGCGGAAATAAAAGTGGCGAAGGATACGCTGTTCCCCAGGTAAGTATATCAAACTCCCCCGATTTCTTCAGCAGCTTGAGCTGCAAACAGGGTAGCAAGAGGTATCGAGGCAGGTATAGGGCCCCGCGATTGACCTTCGGTGCCGAGGTAGGAGGCAGGGAACGAAGGTACAAAGGCAAGGAGGGTACGAAGGATGCCTACCTTCGACAACCTACGTTAGGTACGGGAGACGTGGAGTCAGCCTGCGGCCGCGGGCCACGGAAACTCGACCGCTGATTGGCTACAACCTCCCCCAGGGAAGTGCGTCGAGAGCGTCGGAAGTGAAGAGGGGTGAGCTTGCCTAGAGCGAGCCGTTTGCACACGAGGCGAAAGGTTCTCTCTCGAGGAACATCGTGGCTCGATCCGTAACCAGAATCGTGCATTCGTTCGTATGCATCGTGTATAGTCGACTTTCACGGTAACCACGTCCCTCTCGCTCTAACGATCCAGCTGTCTCCCTTTCTCCACGATAATCTTCCGATTTCGGTCTCCCTCTTTTCTTCTCGCACCCTGTTGCCCCGGTCGGTACGCACTAATGCCGCCACCCCTTCGATCCCTCCACAACCTCCCGTTCCATCGCGGCCTGCCCTTGTCGCCTTCCATCCCACCAAGCTATCCTTTTACTGGCTTCTGTTTACGCCACGCGCGTCGTATGCACACGCTTACATCCCGAGAGAAGGAGAGGCGAAATGAAAAGAGACGGAGAGGGAAATAGCCGAAGGGGGGACGAAAAAGAAGGGGAAGATAGATAAGGTAGAAAAAAAAAAGGGAGAAAGGGTAAGAGGGGGAGAGAGAGAGAGAGAGAGAGAGAGTGATGGTGGTATAAGGTAGAGGAGTAGAGAGGAGAAGGAGGGGGGGATGGAGAAAGAGGGACGCGTCGAAAAAGAGAGAAGAGCAACGCGTGTCTGTATGAACGAGAAGGAACAGACACATGGAAAGGTGGTCGCAAGTGCGTGTAACCGACTACGAGGGATACGCACACACTGGCCCGCACCCTCCTGCTGCCGAATGTAGTAGAGAATGAATAATGTACCCACGTACAGCCGATGTCAGGAGGGGCTCCAGGGAATGTAAGCATCGGCCCGTCCCCTCCGTAGGCTTTGTAGGCCGTTTATCGAAACGGCGCGGCCGTCTGCGACAGGATTGCACGTAGGCGATTGCACGTAGGATGCCGCCGTTCAGCCTGCCACCTCTACCATCCTTCCAGGATGATCGTGCGTTAATGCTTACGCTGATCAATGAATCGATTTAGCCGCGAAACCTTTGTCAAAGGTGTCACGATAATTAAGGGACGATCGTTATCGTCGGTACGCGAGGAGAACTGTACTCTTCGAGGATCGTTACACACCTGTGACTGAAGCGAAATTACCGCGACAGCTAACGTGGAAGAAGCGGATTTTTCTCT